CATATCATCTGCTAAGGACTTCACATTACTCTATATATGCAGAAAATACAGCAATATTAGTAAGATACACATCTACGCCCAATGCCAAGAGCAGGAAATACTTCCTCTCTTATTCCATCCAGACCTGCAGGGGAATTTTTAAAAAGGAAAAAAAAAAAAAAAAATAAAAAGACAAGATGTAGGGAGAAGGCCTGACCTTGCTGCTCTTTACAGCCTGGCGGGGAAGGAAGGGTGGCAGGAAAGGAAGAATCCTGAGTCCTGCTAGTCTGTTCAGCTCACATTCTTTTGAAAAAGACTTCAAAGTCTACCCAATCCTTAAAATAAGATGGGAAGTAGTGGGACTAACCTGGAGTAGTTCACAGGCAGAAGCAGGGGAGGAAACAAACAACGCAACTCTTGATTTTCAAGGTCTGTCATTTGCTTTGGAATAAAATCTCTCTCTGCTACTCTGGCTCACGCTTATCAGGCAGCCAAGGGACACAGACACCCCACCCACAGTTAACTTAATTGGAATCAGACATCCAAATCCACCGGTTCGCTTTAAAAAAAAAAAAAAAAAAAATATCCCAGGTTAGCCTGGGTGTTATTCCAAAAGGGCATGGCCTCCATTTGCTGCTCTGGAGCAGCCAGCTTCACGTGGGTTTAACCAGGGGCGACTCAAATGAAAGGAGAGTTGTTGACACGCTGTTTTTCACCAAAGAAGGAGGAACAGATGTGCACAACTGCACCTCTCACAGCCCAGGAGCCTGGCCAGACAGGAAACCAGCCACTCCGCAGACAAGGTACGCACAGTTTGCAGATACGCTGGCTGACCGGAGCAGAGAGATGCCAGAACCAGTTACTGGTCCTGCCCTGTCCTCTGTTAGAATAAAACACATCTAATGAAAACATCAGTATTCAGCAGCACCGTACGACTATCACACAAAAGGCTTCCCTCACCACATAAAGACCTCTTGCCATTTGGTGACCGGACGGTCACCAGAATATTGTACCCAACCCACGTAGGTGGGATCCCAAATGAAAATAGGCAATCCCAACAACAACCACCTCTTACTCTGGGTCATCAGCAGACAGGACGCCGGACATCCAGCACCCAGCCCATGCCACCGAGCTACCGGAGCAGCGCCGGTAGGCAGCAGCAGCAGTTGGCTTCCCTTTTTTTTTAACAGCCTCTGAAGAGGATGCAGAGAGGCTACAGTCAGCAGGTCAGGCGCACAGTGCTAACGAACGCCGCTGAACACCGTTACCAGTAGTTCCAGCTTGTTGACTTGCCGGAGCAATTCCCAACCGCATGTATTACACCCCTGGAGTAAGTGCCAGGAAGAACAAGCACCTCGATCCCACCCCGGAGGAACCCGAGCACCAGATACAACTCAGTGGGCAGCCTCACTAATGGTAAGCTTGGACTGGTTTCATCTGCCTTCCGTTTCATACATGGCTTTGCACGACAAAGCACCCAAATTTCTATACTGGCAAGTCACGGGAAGATATTTTCATGGTCAAGGAGCTCCTTCACGGACTGAGGCTGCTGTCCTTTTGCTCTTCAGGTTTGTTTTTTAAATAA